AATCTGTTAGGAGGGTACATTTCATGTCAAGCATTCTCACCACAATAATTTTTTTAAATTTATTAAAAAAAAGAGTTTGGATTTCAACATTAGGCATGAGAGTTAAATTTTATCAAGAAGATGCCTTCACAATAAATTACATACCATAATTTTCTTCTGCTTAGGGATTTAGGTTATTCCATAACAATCTTACTTACTTAGCATGATAATAATAGTAATATTGTACTACTGATGAGCAGCATAACAGACCGCCCGGGGCTAGTTGCTAAGCAATGTCTAAAGTTGTCATTGGCAAGGGAAGGTCTTTTTCTGGAAGCAGCAGAAAAGACAAGGCAAATTAAAGAGCAGATATGCCAAGATGGTTGCAAGTTTTGTTGGTGGAGGCCTTCCCATAATGAGTCAGGAAGGCCTGATGAGGTAGATCTCAGTATCAACAACAAGGTTTGCCACTCCTGATGTGGCCCTGGTAGACAGTTTTAGCTCAAAATAAAAGAGAATCTTGGGCAGAGGAGAATATGCAAGATTTACCCATGGCCCAGCTACTTGCAAATTACACTCAGAATACTAGTTGTACTGAAATTCTTTAGCTGAAGAGATAGATTCTCTCATCAAAGACATAAAATGTAAGAATATTATAGTTCAGGATAGAACTTTTAAAACACGAGGGTGAGCCAACTGGAAAATAGCAATGCATCACCTATGAAAATAATTATGTCAGTGAAAGATGGGGAGCATAGTACTCAAGTGGCTGAGGAAGGATGAACTTTTGAAAAATAGTTACTTTGAGAAGCACTAATAAAATTTAGACAGAAATTGCTTCACTAATTGAATTTTAAAAGTAAAATTCTGGAAACAAGAGGCCAAAATAGTTCATTAGCAGGCCTTTATAAAACTGAATGGAGATAAGAATGGAGAGACTGTTATTAAGCAAATATGAGGAATAATTATAAAATGCCTTAAAATTAGCAAAAAGGAGCATTCACAGTATAAAAGATAAATAAGAAGTTTAAAAGATAAACTTCACGAATTCTTCAAAAAGACCAAGAAAACAGGCAAACAGATGTGAGAGAAAACATGATATATGAGAAGACGGGATATCAGAAATCTTAAGAGGATAACATACTTTTTAAAAAGAGAGGATAAATGAAAGAGAATATAAAAAGAGAAAGAAAGGGAAAAAAAAAGAGAAAGAAAGAAAGGAAAAAAAAAAAGAAAGTTTTGAGATGGTGGAATTCCTGTTAAAGATAGTGATTAATTCTACCTAAACCTGTCTGGAATATTCGAAACATTTGATCTCTACTCCTTTGTAGTAGTTATCTATTGCTGCATAACAAATTTCTCCGAACCATAGCAGCTTGAAAGAACACATATTTATTTTCTCATAGTTTCTGTTTTTGTAGAATCTGGGCAAATCTTAGCTGAGTTTTCTGCTTCAGTTTCTCTCATGAGGTAGCCACTGAGGTCCAACCGGGTTGGAAGCTGCTCCCCAGGTTATTCAGTGCTTGTTAGCAGAATTAGTCCTTTGAGTGTTGTTGGGCTGACAGGCTCAGTTCCCTGCTGGTTGTCACTCAGAGGCCCTTGATTCTTTACAATTTAGCTGTCATTATTACTCACTTAAATCGTATAGCTCCACCCTTTCCATAATTTCTAATTACAGCTAAAACTTGCTTTCTTTTTCACTCATACTTCGCACAACTTTGTCATTTCATGCAAAGTTAAAAGCATTTTCAAATATCATAAAAAGCAATAACTTGGTGAGGTGCTAAGGAGTATTTAGAGAAACCATATGGTATATCTGAAAAAGACCATAATTTAATCTATTATTTTAAAGCAGAGAAAGTAAAAATAACTAATTATAAAAGCAAGCTTGGAGGTATACCTGAGGTTTTAAATGTCAGATTGTGCAATTCCTTCAAAGTTGGTAAGTGGCAGATCTAATTTGGAAACAGGACTGTGAAATCAAAGTCTTTGCTTTAAACGGTCTAAATTGTTCTACAGTTCAGCTCAGTAGGAAATTCTGTAGGGCTTGGGTTCAAAGTCTTAGGATAAGAGAATCATTTCTCCATCATTGTCCTCCAGTTGTCTGTCCTCATAAGGAGCTCTGAGGCCTCCACATCAGAGACCTAGTGCCATCATTTCAAAATTTACAGGAAGGTTCTTCTTGATAGCATAAGTTTTATTTCTAGCTCAGGTCATGTGGTGGCCAGTTGAAGATTCATAGGTTAAAGATTTCCATTTTATCAATATTAAGAATGAGACAGGGACAGGAATTAAAACAAAAACCAAAAAACAAAGAAAGAAAACAAACAATAGAGCAAAGATCTACAGGTTTGTCATAAGTGAGATTGTGGCCTCGTGGGAAATAGGGATTTATTTCTGGTTAGGGCAAGGTTTTCTGAAACCTAACCCCAAAGAGAAAGCTATAGTTTTTAATGTGTTCTTGAGTAAACTCCCACGTGGAAAGAAAGGCTGCTATAATAGGAGAGATTTGACAGATGGACTCTGGGTATGCTGGGGATTGAGCTTATATAGAAACTCACACTAAAAGGCGAAATGAACTTCTTGCGGATAAAGTTCCCCATGGAAAAGAAGGGGTATGGGACCAGGTCCGTGGTGGAAATGGGCAAAGCAGGCCAAGTATAAAAAAAAAACACAAAAATCGTGGTGATGATGAAGTGGCCCTAATTGCACACATGGAAAGCATGTACCCTAATAATGGAAGCAGCAACTTTATTAGTTAGGACTATTTGTGTAGCAAATAAGAAAATCCAACTTGAAATGGCTTAAACAATAAGGAAATTTTATTGATTGCATAATAGGAAATCCCAGCAAAGTTTAGGGTAACTCCAGCAGTTATTAATCTACCAATTCAATGACATCTTTAAGAGACCAGGTTTTATTATATCAACCTTGACGTCATAATCACAACATGGTTGCAACACTATCAGATAGGCTATCCAGATCCCAACATCCAGAAGAAGGGACAGAATACCGTTTGTGAAAATTTCGCAACATGCCTCTTCTCTTGTTTCATGGGCAAAGAAAAGGGGGGGAGTCATACACTTACCAAATCAATCACTAGTAAGGGAAATAAGATTATTATGACTGATTTGAAACGATAGAGATTTAACCTGGAGATGGAGTCAGGTTTGCCTTTTTCTAAAATATGGACAAGTGAATAAAACTGGTGTTCTGAAAACAAGAAGGAAGAAAGTTGTTTGGAAGGCAACCAACAATGTTTATTCCAACATCAGTCAACTAAGCTGATGGTTGCTATCGGCAATGTGATTCCAGTGCTGCCAAACCATTTGATTACTTTTACAAAGCTGGAAATCTGGATGTTTATGCAAGATCTCCCAATTTTTAAATACTGACCACAAATTCAAAACATTTTAAAAATACTTTATGACCAAAATCATCCCGGCCAAATAAATTAAATCTGTAGTCCAGATATGTCTGGCAAGCTACCAGCTGACAACCTCTGGTTTATGCTATTAATTTATGTAATTAAAACTTTCTCCACGTAGAAAGTGAAGTTCACTTTAAGCTTGCCAGTAACTGAATTGTACAAATTTCTGTGAAAAAATTTTAATTAATAAAGTTTTATTCACTTGTAGCAAATTTCAAATGACACAGCTAATAAGGATTGCAAAAGATAATGTAGGAAAAAGATGTTATATAAATCAGAGATTGTTTATATAATTTTGTTCTTACCGTTCTAATTTGACAGGTTTATGGTTAAAACAGTCAAGATGCTGCTAGTCATCTAATGAGGAACATAGGGTTTTCTTCCATCCCTCCCTGTTTCCTGTGATTTCCTGGGGATTTTCGTTTGTTTGTTTTAATTAGAGGGTAAATTATTTCTTACTAAATGAGAAAATTAAGATGTTCAAAATATTTGAGGAAATATTAGTCAACATCATAGTAAGAAAAGGAGGGTTGTCTAAGAAAGTCACCTAATTAGAGATTTCAGATCCACAGCTGTTTGTTTAGAGTCCTTTTCTTTCCCATGAGTATGGAAGATAGAAATTGTAAATTCATACAAAGATTCTCAAGAGTGTCTCTCTCGAAAATTTTTGTTTAGTCTCCTCAAAGTACAACATGAATCAAGATATGTTAACATCTTGAGTATCAAGAGCAAATAATAAGGAGGAAGTAAGTATATTTCTCTTCCATCCAGATTATCCAATCTTCCAAGTAGATCATTACCCCACCCATCCTTGCTTAGTCGATGCTTCAGACTTTTGGATTGGAACCCTGAAAAAGACAAAGTTCTTAAATGATCTATTTAATTCTAAAACTTAGATATTCTATAACTTTGAACTATTAAGAAGTTAAAATAAATTCTGTGTAGTCACGCTTCCTATTTTATAGATCATTTGATATACCGCAGTGAAGGAGTGCAAACATGGGAAGTCAGGAAAAGAATGTGAGGAAAAACACCACCCTGGGATCCAAATATCCATCTGACTAATTGATGTAATATGGAGAAGGTGAGGGATCAAGAGAAGAGTTATGAGACACTGGGGGATTATCCTATGGGAGATGTTCTCTATCTCACTTCCCTGGGGAATATTTCTGAGAAAATAAAGAATATTGGGATCATCATCACTTTCTAGCTAAAACCCTTCCATCTTCTTCCTCTTGGTTTTGACCACACTAGGAAGGAAGACATATCTCCACTCCCACCCTATAATCATACAGCTACTGTTTTAGTGAACATCTTCTAGGAAGACACAGTTAGAACTTCTCTCCTTGACAGTGGGAGTGTGACAAGATTATAGTCGTTTGCCTATGGATCTCTTACCTTAGGTGTTGACATTATTTTATCCTTAAAAACAGTAGAGGGAAGTACTTTTGTGGCATTATGCTATATTAGAGACAAAAATAATAGTAGGTCATTAGAAATGCTATTCTTTCCCAATCCTAGGCATATTTATTTCCTTATTTAAATCATCGCTTACCGCCCCATCACTCTAGTTCAAATTTCAACCACTTACCCAATGGATCTTTCTCCCACTTTAACTACTCTGAGTCCATTCATTTTCCCCTTTACCACATTCTTTTCATAGGTATCACATACCTTGGCACAAAAAAATATGTGAGGGATTAAGCGCTCTATACACATATGACTTGTTTTCACACTAAAAATGTAAACATTCTTGAAAAAATGACTTTAATTTTAGTTCTTTCTCATTTACCCACAACAGAGTACCAAGTATGAAGAAACATGCTCAGTAATTACTGAGTGAATGAATTCTTCCTTTTACTTCCTAAGTGCCTAACTTTTATTCCAGGTTTGCCTACATATGGTCTGTTTTTCATACCCCACCTTCTATAGAAAACTGTAGCTAATATAGGCCTTATTCTATCTATATTAAATTAAAAAGTAAAATATATAATAAAATTTTATATTCTCCAAAATAAGCATCTAGAAAGGAGACTGTTTACCTCCTAAAGCAAAACTACTTACCATTTGTAACAGAACTATTTTTAATAATAAAAACTATTTATCATTTCTTGATGATTATGTAACAGAAATATTTTTAATAATAAAAAATTAATACCCATATTGATTTATAGATAGTAAGTAGGCCTTGCTTTCTCAGATAAACCCATGTGCTACAATATCTCAGGTTGGCCTAGGGAGCATGTATCCTGAGAAAGAATCCATAGATTTAGAGACACCATCCACATGGGGCACAAAAGACATTTAAAAAATTATTAGTGACTACCTGATACTTACAAGGAAAGAAGAAGATGACACAGACATAGGAATCGGTGGTGGTGGAAAATCTGGCTTTGTAATTAGCTAATAAAAAGGTAAAATAAAATTAATTCAAAGATGGGGCCTTGAAAACAGATGTGCTTAATGGAAAGGCTTAAATCATTTTCAGAAATGGAGAACTCATGATACTACCCATGAAAATAGTTTAAATCTGTAAGCTCAAGTGTCTTCATTTAAGCATATATATATATATGTGTATATATATATATATATATATATATACATATATATATACAATTCAGAAATAAGGCCAGTGCCAATAGACAGATGATGAAGATGCCACTCTATGAAGCAGTTTGGTACTCTTCTTGTAATAAGTTACCAGCTTTTCAGACCCAGTAATTCAGATTAAGGGGTTAAACATAGGTAGGTTCAACCTTCTCACATTTTGCATTTTAAAAAGTTTTGCTGGAAAATCTGTATTTTATATTAATATTCACCAAGATTTTAACATTCTTCTGAGGAAATAATTGGGTATTGTGGGTTATGTCTCTTACTAGTATTACCTTGAGATTAGATTGGAAGTGATATTTAAGAGAAGTTGCTAACTCACAACAGAAGCTGGAGGCTCATTGCTCTCTACTGGCAGATCAGGTGCATGGAGCTTCATCCGACTCATCTAAAAAAAAAAGAAAATAATAATATTTTTAAATGAAATGATCAGTTTCCTAAATTCAACTTCCAAATAAGCAGTCCTTTCAAGAGATGGGAGATCAGAATTGCGATGACACCAAGAAATAGGATGGGCAATCACAGTGGTCCAGCTGCTGCATTCTGCTGTATCCAGAGCTGTCAGAGATAGGTATGTTTCCATCAAAAACATTATTTCCAATGACATTACCATTAGCCAATCTCTGCTAAAACTTCTAAACTTGCAGGACACAGCCAGGGCTTTAAGGGTTATACATATTACATGTATTGTCATACAAATACACATATTATTGTCTTAATTGGGACATTTGCAAAAGGAAAAAGGAATCAGCTTAGAGTCAGAGAGAAGGAAGAAGAGAGAGAGAGAAGGGGGGAGGGAGGGGGACAGAGAGGGGAGGAGAGATGGAGGAGGGTCAGGGGAGGGAGAGAGAGGGAGAGAAAGAGAGAGACATCTGGACTCTGCTCTCCTTGTTCTCTTTATTTTCTTTGCATTTGTGAATCTCAACAAAGCAGCCTCTGCATTTTAGCAAGACACTTTTGCACTTAAAAAAAAAAAAAGCAAAGGAGGGGGGCCTGGGTGGCTCAGTCGGTTAAGCGTCTGTCTTCAGCTCAGGCCATGATCCTAGGGTACTGGGATCGAGCCCCATCAGACTCGCTGCTCAGTGGGGAGTCTGCTTCTCCCTCTGTCCCTCCCCCTGCTGTACTCTCTCCCTCTCTCTCTCTCTCGCTCACTCTTTCTCTCTCAAATAAATAAAATCTTTTTTTTTAATTTTTATTGTTATGTTAATCACCATATATTACATCATTTGTTTTGGTGTAGTGTTCCATGATTCATTGTTTGTTCATAACACCCAGTGCTCCATGCAGAATGTGCCCTCTTTAATACCCATCACCAGGCTAACCCATCCCCCTACCCTCCTCCCCTCTAGAAACCTCAGTTTGTTTTTCAGAGTCCATCATCTCTCCTGGTTCGTCTCCCCCTCTGACTTACT